ATTTGTTCAAGTGCCCTTTTCTATCTATTCTTTCTACGTTGTGTTTGTGAACTAAAGTAGGTGAGCAGTATTTGAGTCGTTAAGTAATGTTTAATTTGGAAATGTATTATTGTACGGTTACATACCGTTTTGCTGAAAATACTTTTATTAAATATAGTACATTATGATTAAAACTGGTTGACAAAAATATAATACATTACTTAATAAAAAATTAACTGGGTTCCGTATTCGAATATCATATAAAAGTGTTAACAGTAAAAAATATGACTTTTTCACCTACTACAGACGAAAGAATAGAGTAACAAATACTGCTAAAATTACCGGAAGGAGAATATATATACTCTGTGTACATGTAAAGGGCATTAAAGCTCAAGCATCTTTGATAGTTTGCTAAAATATTTTTTATCATAGAATTTCGTAACTATTAACATGGCCTGAACAATTGTTATAACGTGGAGTTCATATAAAATTCCCATGATCCAATTTTGTTTTTAGGCCGCGTGGGCGATTCTGTCGGCGGTTGGAAGCGCTCGGTTGCGAAAATAATTCATTAGTCCAACGGATATCTTGTGATTTACGCTGTACTATAATCTAATTGAAAGTGTTGCCACTTATAAATCTGTTTGTAAACACATTGTATGATAGAATTTACATAATTATTATTTACTAGTAAACACTCGCGACTTCGTCTGTAAAAAAAATATATAGCTATTGTTAATAACTGATAACGTAGCGTTTTATTGGTGAAAAAAGTTATTAAATCCAGTACTCCAGTTATTGAGTTATTTCATTACATACAAAATTTCAAATCTTATGTGATTTTTATGTACAACGCATATTATTACAACAATCTATGATAACCAAAACTTTAAAGCAAAATTATCAAAATAATCTTTCTGTTATAATATACCCTTTACTAACTTTATAAAAGCAAAGTTATGATTAATAATTATGTTTTCTTTTGTTTCAAAAACCTAATTAAACGTCGCATAGCAATATGACAATTATTTTCATTTCCGTGTACAAAGGCCAACAACGAGATTAAGTATAAGAAATCAATTAAAAAGGCATTACCTACGTATAAGCAACCAACCAACCTACGTATCCGTATTGATTTTCTCGAATTATTACTTGACAAAATAAAATCAGTCACCTTGACTATTTTGTGTGTTATGTTGGTAGACTAGTTTCATACTTATCGGCCGAAGAAAAGTGGAGCGGATGGAAATAAAAATCAAACAAGTGTACACAAATAACTAAACTTCAAATACACAGTACAAAATTTCATTAAATAAAACGTAATTTACAATAAACCAGCAATTGCCACTAAGCCGATTTTTATGAAAAGAAAATTGTCTGCTTATTATAAGTATTATGGACAAACTTTGTAGATATAGTCTATTTAAAAAAAATAGCAGCAAAACATTAACGTCTTTACAGTCTTCTTACTGACCTTTAAAGGTGTATACACACTGACGCGAGTTGCGCAATACAATTAATTTATTTAGGTATTTTAGTGGCAGCGTCCAAAAGCGGCGATGTTGCCCACGCGACGCTGGTCATGTGATCTTAAGAGCATAAATAAGCATCTTTAAGGGCAAGCGAATCGAACGACTTGTCTACAATAAGACATGTGGATATTTATTATGAATAGTGTTTAAAATAAACTTTTAAATTAATGCGTAAAACGTAATATTTGACACAGTTAAAGTTTATGTAGCGAGGAACTGCAAAAAGATATTTTAGTAAATTAATAAAAAAAAAACCTTATATTATGAATGACTAGCTTTCGCCCGCGTATCCGTCAGCGTAGATTTAAAAAAAAGTGAGTAGCCAATGTGATCTTCCTTACTATCCTCTACATCTATACCAAATTTTATCGATATTTGTTCAGCCGTTTAGGCTACAAACTTTAACAAACATCCATTTAAACATTCGCATTTATAATATTAGTAAGATAGTAAGATAGTCAATTTTGAACCATGGGGGACCACCAATATCAGTAATAATTCTTATTCAGGACTAAAGTAGCCTAAAACCAGTTAAATACTCGTACGCTCAGTTTGTACTGAACAGTCAAAATGTTCAGTTAGAATTGTCAGAACTAAAGCCGTGTAGTGAAACTAGGTTTAATGCTAAAAGAATTTTTACAGACAAAAAGAACGAAGAAAATTCAAATGTTTCTAAAGTTAAAAAACAAACAATTACCTTTTAAGAATGTTCGCCATTATTTAAATTAGCACCATTTAAATATACACATTATAATTGTCATGCAAACGGCAAGAGAGCCGCAGCCTCATCGACTGCTGTACTATCTGCAAAGAGGCCGTTATCAATGACAGATCGGGGTTCTCTCTAACTTTATCAGCAACGTAATCTAAGAACAACACGTCAATCATGCGGACTTGACACTTATCTCGCAGCGTTGATAATACATCTTTCACTGCACCGTCACGTGGAAATTTACACAATTCTATTCATTACGGTCATTATGACAACCTTTGTCGTCACCTGACAGGAGCACCAGTCTTCTCGAAGTTAGAAGTAACTAGTCAATCATGCTGGCCCAATTCGAAAGTCAAAAAACATATTAATGCACGTCGAACGAAGACCTGTAGATTACATGTGCGGTTCTTAATCACTGCGTCACTAACGTCCTTCACGTTCATGTTGTGAAGTCAAAATATAAACTAAGTTAATTTAATCAAGCAAAAAGTTTATGAAGACCCAAAAGCTACAAAAACTGCTAAGAAACTCCTCTCTAACTTGTTAACCTTTTCATAACAATTTACCTGAGCTAAACACCAGTTTTAGGTAAGAAATCTGACCGATCGTAACCCTTCTAATGCCAGGCCGAAATGCTTAAGGGTTTTGACGTCTGTTGCTAGATGTACGATCAAATGTTAAATCTATGTCGAATTCAAAAAAGAGATTGTCTATATTATATTCCCGCATTCATCCAACTACCTTCATATCAAAGTTCCTTTAAAAGTCGTTGATAAAACTATACCGGATTCGTACTCTTGCCTGAACTACCGTTCGGGGTGAATGATAATTATCAGTTGATGTAATAATGTAAAGATCGCACACTCGTTATAATTAAACTACACAGTGATGTCAGAAATCTCTTACTATTTTTAGTTACGTTATCTTTATGGCTGATAGTAGACGTAGGATGATGTAGGGTTCAGGTGTTTGATTCCTGCAAAATCTTTGTAAATTGAGTGCATTAATTAAAAATTTACAGACAATTATGCTGCTCAAAGTGCTATAGAACTAATATAGTAACTATCTTTGGTCGTGCAAGGATTTGACGGTTGGTTTTGATGATGACATCTAGTTGAATAGGTATAGATATTAGATATCACAATTAAATTTTAAAACGAATATCTAGGCACCTTTGGTTTTCCAAGTTCACTGAAGTGTAAGTAGGAAAGGTACTTACTCAAAACTGATGACATTTGTATAAATGGTAAGGAATATTGAAATCGAATGAAGAAAGTTGAAGGTTAGTAGCAAATAATCGAATTTTGTAAATTGGGTGATATCTATATCATTATGGCGACAAAAAATGTGAATAATGATCGAAAGTTTCAAAGAAAGTGATTACGAATTATTATAGATGACTCGACGTTGACAATCTACCTTCAATACGTAAGGCGTACAGCTATATTATAGTGAGGCTATTGTAAATTTTAAATAGCATATTTCTAGAACTGCATTCCGCTTGTTATTTCGTTGTCAATATTATCTAACACACTCGTATCTTTTCAGTCTTACAAATATAGGCCTTATTTTTTTCTTCTTAGAGTAATTTTTGCTGTGTTGAGATTAATTACAAATCGCTACTCAGTTATGTTGCGCAGTGTGTATAGGAGAAAAATTGACCGCAGCATTCGGTTCTGTTGCAGAGTAATATAAAATACACTAAGTGGTCCTTGCGTCACACCCATCAAGCCATCGCATTGGCTCATTCATACACCTGTCATTCGTTGTACAGCAATAATTATATTACATGTTGTCGGTAAACTATTTTACAATATTGCCTTGTATACTTTTCGTCTATTTTTAAAGCAACAAAAATACTTTGTAGCCATTTGTTGAGTCTTTCATTTCGAATATCTCGGCTAAACTTCGGTTACAATTTGAAAGGTCTGGCATTACAAATATCGATTTCCAATCGACATATAATTTACGGCCATCACTAAGTACAAAGTAAGCTGTGAATAATATTACCATTCCCATTTATTCTACAAATACATAATGTCGATAAAAACTTTTCTATGATTCGAAGAAAATATACATCAAGAGTACTTACTACAATAATAAAAGATGCGTCCTTCCTTGATTTAGTAAATGTATTCACACACAAATTATTTTCAGTTAATTTAAGAGTATTTCACTTGGTTTTCTCGATCCGAAAACTAATGAATTAACGTATGTTATGCGAGTGTGAAAAAACGTAGCATGAATATGCGCCTAAACGCGTACGCGGTCGGTGTGCAACTGATCAACTATCAACTAGCGACTAGTGAACGCCGCCGCATCGTTCCCCCATACCGGACAATATAGCTGCGCCCGCGCAGGGGAGCTGACCGATTCGCCTCGCCTGCTGCGCTACAGCGAGCCCAAACAAAAAAGAAATGTCGCCGAAGGTTCACAACTCATCGCATAATCAAATACTCGTACATATTGTATGCTATATGTCAACAAAGGATGTTATTCCCTCGCTGAGCTACAACTAACTAAAGCGATACATCACTTAAATACTAAAGGAAAGCGTGAAGTTTCTGAGGTTATAAGAACAAATTAGACAAAATAATTGAAATTACCACTTAATAAAAAAATCTAACTATGGCGTCTAAAAGGAAATATCAATGTTTAATTATTAAACTATTTTCAATAACAACTTTTTACAAACCTCTTTTATGAAACTATTTTATTTTATTTTTAAATGACTGTCAAATGTCGACTATAAAAAATAAATAAAATAAGTAATATTATAGCTGTTTTTAATTTATCGTTATTTGATTTTAATAAATAATTACAAATGGATAAAAAGAGATCTTTTAACGTTTTATCAACAACTGATTCTGTAAAATTGAATATAAATAATCGTAATCAGAATAAAGATTCCAAAGGAGATGGCAATATTACACAGAGTTCATCGCGGACACAATACTTTAAAAGAGAATTTTACACTGGTGAAATCAGAAAATTGAATGAGAAAGAAGTAAAGAAACTAAGGGAAGGCTTAGATAGTTCTGGATCATCGGAAACTTTTCAATGCGTCCACGGACCCGAGGGGAAACAGTATACTGAAGAGGAAATTTTAAATAAATATTTAACAAAAAAAATCGATCCTATTACAGTCGGTAAGATTAATAACGAAAGTATTACATTAACTTAATATAATCGCCCTTGCCCTAGAGAGAAGGCAGTATTTTTTCTTAACTATTTCGCATGGTGCTTACGCACCTATCACTTAGATGAGAGTAAGTATACTACAAATAACTTTAACCTATAGTACACCGTCACTGTAGTTCATAGCCAGTATCAGTTAATGAATGAAATAAATGCAAAAATAATCCAATAGTACTACACTAATTATTGAACAGGTCTGGTTTTACGTACGACAATATTGGTACATAGAATACAAGTTAATTTGCATAATCAAAGAAATCAATTTAAGAAAGTCAATACAAAGGCACGTACGCATTATGAAAGTATATACTTGTCGTAAAATATAATGAAATGCTAGTCCTTCTACTGGTTTAATAAACTTTCCCTCACCCACATAACCTTTAAATCTGTTGTCATATATAATTGTTATGATTTCTCGTGTGCCACTATCTTGACCTGCAAACCGTGGCCATTGTTTCTCGATCAAATGGTCGCAACCAATAACAATTTATTAGAATGCACATTAAAGTGTAAGATTCCGGTACGGACGGTACTCTACATTCTTCATGGTTTTAATCAAATAAACAATAACAAAATAGTATATGACGAGATATCACAAAGTGAAGTGATTACCCATCACAAACTCAAAATGATTACTTCAACGGTAAACATTTTGTAACATAAGTTTTAAAACATTTTTGCCGTTTATGAGATCTCTTAAGTTTGTATGTATAACACTGTACAGAACTGTATAGGTGCTAAGATTTGAAATGTCATATTAATTACAGATCAGACATGGGTAGATCCTTGCCCATTAAAAGTCGGATGGGAAGTTGCTCAGACTTTAGTCTTCATGGTGAAAGATCCAATTGCTATGAAACAGTTAGATCGTATGCAAAGCTATTTGAGAGATTTTGCTAAAACTGCTGAATTTGGATATGTATCCTTTATGAACAATGTTCGGTAAAAGTGAATGGTGACCAATTATAAATTTCTCATGGAGTAAAACGTGTATGTCCATTGTTCGTCATTCTTAGTCATTCGTTCCCATGATTTGAAATGTTGATAGTATATAGCATTGGGAGAAAGTATGTAGGTATGTCAGCATTACATCTATATCTTCATCTTACTTTCAAGTGACATTAGATGTGGAAAGTTCGCAACTTCCAAGAAGTGTTATCGATTAGGATATGGATTAGTTTTACATTTAGAAGTCTGGAAGTACAAAATATGATTTTATCTCAATCACTTGAAAACTGATTTTCATGTCTCACCTATATTAATGTTAAACTAGGAAACTCAAATAATAAACAGAAAATTGACGTTTTGGATGATCTTTGTTTGATGTTGGATTATTTCGTAGAGAAGTTGTCTCCCAAATATGTGCTAAGAGAAGAAATAATTCAATTACTGCATTGTATGGAAAAGCCAATTTTATTAAATGCTACTTCAGATGTTGTTACTTATTTCCATTCTTTAACTGACTACATCAATTTCATGGGTGAGTATCTGTAATAGATCCTATTGTTTAAATTCAGTTAACATTAATAGGTATCGATGACCGTTGTGTCTGATTGAAGTACTTCCTACAACAGATATGTCTTTAAAACTCGCGTTTCTATACATCTGGGTACAGTCTTTAAACGGTATTACTTCAATCGCAATAGATGTAAGGTTTTCTTATCCGTGACAATCAATTCGTTCACGCACGCAGTTGATGTCGTTCCATTGTTATAGTCAAAGGGGACAATGGCGATGGCACTCGAGGGAGTTTTACTCCTATTTTGGTGGCCTTAAAGTTATGGAGCAAGCGCGTGTCTGACACGTCTCGATGCTCGGACCACTCAGTACCCCGCCCTACTTGTGGCTTATAATCTAGAGCGTTCTAAATTCGATCTTAACTTTCTATTGTAACATGATGTATACACATTAATATCTATAGGACGTTTGGAGAGAATATATATCAAAGATTTGCGTGCACATTTCCCCTTTATTCTGCATGGAAATGTTCAAGTCATCGATGTTATGAATAAAACAGATAGGTGCAAGCGTACAGAGATATATAGGTCCGTATCCCCACAATTGAGATTTAGTACTGAAGGGTTAAGTATTTAAGTCAAGACATCTTACTAAACTGTCTGAGAGTCTTATGTTTTTTAATAATTTCAGGTTACCTCCTCGTGCGTTTAGAAGAAGATGATATATTCGACATAGTCTCGAATGCACTGATCTGGCATCTATCGTATCCAGATTTCCTACGTAAAAATGGCCAGATCCGACAGAGTCACACATTTGTGGCTGCAACTGGCCTTTGTGAAACCGTAGTCAGAATGTTGTCGTTGTCCACAAATCGCCGTTTTCCCACATTTTTAGAGATCGCGCTTTTATTTGCCTGCGACAATGTAGACATATGTGTGTAACTAAGATGTTTCTTAATCTTAAATGACTAATTCTACTATAATTCGACGAGAATCATTAACATCTTTGATCATGTGATCTTATTCTATAAATTCTTATAAAATGCGTGAGAATTAGTTTGCAAAAAAACAAATCTGTTTGTCTGACTTTTTCTTCTTTTTAACCGACTTTCCAAAAGAAGGTTATCAATTTGTCTGTATATTTGTTTTTATTTGTTGGACACAAGTGTTTTTATTTCAATGTTTTGTGTTCCAGGTGTAACAATGATGAGGAGTAATATAATCGAAAATTTATTTTATCGCTTCAATCCCTATTTCCCTGATAGAGATTTGCCAATATATGATATAAATCCAGCAGATCCTCAAGACTTTAGAGTGGTACTAGGTAAGTTCTAACGAACAATTGTAAGAGTAACTTTATTTTTTTGGCCCAAGAGTCTGTAATTTTTTCCTATATCAGGGTTACCACTTCTACCACTGTAAGGTCACTTTCCCTCTGCTAATACTCTCAACGATGGTATTCTCGTGCTCCAAAATATCACTCCTGTAGTGAAAATTAATCTAAATATTATGAAATTCGTCGCTAATACTTCTCAAATTCCAATCGACTGTTATTCAACATATCTATTCACGCTGCTATAATAGCGATTGCAATTAAAGAGATGAATATTACAGGTGCTAGCAGTATAAACTTGTCTACAACGCTCTCTTTACTTTTGGTGCTATTAAAAACGACAAAAGATATAATGAGTGTTGATCCTGAATTCTGTTCAACCCTTCCATGTCCTGATTCATACAGCCAAAGGTAACTAAGCGTTTGTACACAACGCGAATGCACGTTGAATGCGCCACACTGTTGCCAAAACAATATGCGTTCAGTGCGTTTACATTGCGTTCACATTCTTTATCTAGTTTTACAAGTTTTGGTTCAATAGAGCCATATGGTTGAGTTTATTTTTTTGTGGCAATAATTTAAACCCTAACTGGCCGTGGAATAATCTTCCCTTTATTCGTCATCCGTCTAGACGTCCATAAATAAACTTATCTGTGTGAGGTCTGGTTTATTTATTTTCATCGATTCTTGTTGTTAACAATAATACATTTTGTGAGATAATTGCATATTATTGGCAGATAATACGAAATCAGTAAAGAGGATATTCTAGGGATTATTTACGTCCATTTTATAACAGCTGTGTTTCAAGATTTTATCAAGATAAGATTCTATAAGCCAAGACAATTAACCCTTTAATTATTTAGTTACTTTATAATTGTCATTCTGTATTAGTATTGTATAGCGCTCTTATTCATGCCAGAACAATTTTGTTGATAAATCTAATTAACATTCTACATTGTTATTCAGATGCTTCGCTTGGGCATATCGATATGAGTGTCGAGCAAGAGATCATCGTCATGAGAGAATTACATTGACCATCATTTCCTCTTGTCTTCTTCATTGTTTCGGCGACCGATTAACCGAGTTGAGCAACTCTTTAATGCCAGGTTATAATCTTACTAAAATTATTAATGCGATAGTTTAGATGGATGGATGTTTGTTACAATTTGTAGCCTAAACTACTGAACGGATCTCTATGAAATTTGGCACAGAGGTAGAGCATAGTGTATAAGAATACATAGGTTACTTACTTTTGTTTGTTTTTATTTCCACGCGAACGCAGTCTCGGGCAAAAGCAAGTTTTTACATAATGTTGTTCAAGAGAATACCTACATTTTTTTAATAATAAACATAAGATATCAATGTATTTTAAGCACCTGATTTTTTAAAAAAAGTTTTAACTAATAACATATAAAACTATCCTTTAATATGACTGTTTTCGGATTAATCTGTTATAATCACTGCAATAAAAAATAGGGATCTATGCACTCCTTTTGGTATATGATGCATTCTATTATATTATTGAACAATGAATTTAACATCAGTAGAACAAGGTCAAAACCTTGAATAGGATAAACAATATCTGTCTTAGACGATGCATCTTTCATAACAATATATTATATAGATCGTCGGTGACGCAGTGTAAGTGCTGGACTAATTTAGGATATTCTATAGTAAGAGCGTGCTAAAACTAAACTATCGCACAACTGTCTACTCTCGCTTTGATTCCTATGACCTAATATGGTTGTGCGCCCCTACTGGATTTTTAGTTGTGCGACGCAACAGTTAGTTGGCTGCAAAACAATCGACAATCGAACAACAGTTGTGCGATAGTTTATTCAAAAGGGTGCGCGCACTTTAAAAATAAATAAATAATTGTATAAAATTTTGATCGACATTATTTTCAAGATAAATCTAGAATTTAATACGTGATCATATCTTAATGAAAAACAAATGAATGCATGGTTTTGGTAACTCAAAACTAAAAAACGTAATTAATTCTTCGCAGATGTGATATCGTTGTCAGTGCGGACGGAAATACCGGCAAGACCTGATTGGACGGGATCCATCAACTTCAATACGAGTCAACTGGATGTCCGATTCAAGCAAGTTTTAATATACTTAAGCGTGGATTTCTTCAAAACATTCCCTAATAATAGATTTGTGAGTAAAAAATGGTAGTTTCATAATTTTTGTTTTTAATACGGCCACCAACAGCAAGGATATAATTTGTCGCACTCAGGTGTCTTTGGTTTAATGGAGTCCCTTATTCTAAACTTAAAATGAAATCCACACTAAGAGTACGATAAAATAACCATTAACGGGCTGTTACGTTTATTCTAGCCCATATCAATATTTTGTGCTCTTCTAAAATTTCTGTATATTTGTAGAATATGGAATCTCGACACTGGCTTCTAGGTCTTATGTATTTACTGGATCCAGTCCTCTGTAAGCTCCGAGCTCGTTGGTCACCGGCGCTTTATTCAGACTTAAGAAAAACAACGTTTAAAGCATTGATTTGCACCCTTCCTATAGCGTCGATGCGTCTAGTACAAGAAATTGGATTAATAAGAAGGTATTGTAAACTTTTTATATATATATAAAAAGGTGGCAAACGAGCAAGCGGCCACCTGAATCCACCGAAATGAAAAGCGACCGCTGCCCATAAACTTTCGCAACTGCAGATGCGTTGCCTACCCCTAATTGATGAAGTACGAAGGAGTCGCACAAAAAGACCTTCGTCCTTCGACCACATCTTCACCTTGGTCTAGGTGGGATAGTGGTCAAGCGCTGGTTTTTTTCAATTTAAAAAAAAAAAAAAAAAAAAAGAGAACATTTCCATCCTATGCTTATCCTCCACTGTCAAATCCACTTTTTTCCCATTCTTTCCTTTTAAGAATAGGGTGGAAAGGGAAAGGGACTAAAAATTAAGCCTCCGGCACCACATTCATAAGACGAAACGCGGAATTGCTTCCAATTCACGCCTGTTTTCTGTGTGGTCGTGGTATTACACCGGGCGAGCCGGCCCATTCGTGCGAAGATGTTAAAGCGGGCTCTACCACTGAAAAACTAATTAAATAACTTTTTAGAAAAACCGATAAGCACTTATTTTCCCGGTGATACATTTTCGTTGAACTTTGTGTATATTTTATTGTGCTTGTTTTAGATTAATGTGGTACATTGAATGGTATTCTGAGAGTCCGTACGACTTATCTGTACTATACTGGTGTCTTAGAGTACTGCAAGTTACTATTAGTCGAAGAGACAGTTACCTCCGACGACATATGTTGAATGATTTGTTTGACAGTCACGGTATTATTGTACTTATACGTAAGTATTATAACTTTAATAACGATTATTATAGTACTAAGTTAAATGTAAAATACTTAATAAGGTCTCATTTATCGACAATATATTCATGATTCCATAACAAAAAAAAATATCTGTTTACATTATTACCTTGCTTGCATTGGTTTGTTTTATTACTTTAAGCCTTCTACAGTTACTGCCTAAAATGTGATATAATCTTTACAAAACAATAACATGGAAAACATTTAGATCTCTGCCATACTCTCCTTGATCAAAAACCTCTACCGGTGGAGAAGAGCCAAGTGATCTTGTGCGTATGTTTAAGACTTCTAACAAGTTGTACTGAAGTTAACTCTGGATTAGAATGCCAAGTGTATCCATTTATCAAATGGCCCAATTCTGTCCAAACTCTTTCGACAAGGATGCTGAATTTAGTACTTAGCTCATTGCAAGCAAATCTGATTTTAAATGAAAGGTAATTTTATATCAAGAATGTTTTTTCCTTAAATTGAAACAGATTTTATGGATAGGTATACTGGGTATGTGTTACGATGACCTTAATGTTTCTAATAATAAACTAAGACACATTGCAATAAAGAAGCAGCAAGAGAAAAAAAAATAGGTAAATGCAAGTAGGAAATATCAATTTCTCTAAATACACGTAATAATTTTACGTCGTTTCCTATACGACAATATTGTGGATGCCATTAAGCTCTTACCCTAAAATACTTAATGTTAACTACAGTTGTTTCTTGTTCAACTCAAAAACTCGTTGCAGTTATACGTCTTTTACAAAATCAATAATTGTCGGCCACAAAAACCGGCTAGTATAACAAACATGTTTAACTAAGTGATCTAAATGTTTATAGAAATATGCGTGTTTCTACTACAGAATGTTAAGAGTTTAGTCTTTATTTTAGATGGATGATATCCTTACTAAACTTCGTATGGGAATCGATCATTTGGAACGGCACATATAGATCAAGATTTGTAGCGGATGACGGAGTTTATAAGCTTTTGGACATGATTTCTGTACGTCTCATGTAACATGATAATTATTATGACATCGCAAATATTATAATAAAAGGACAGAAATTGGCTATCATAGTCATATAAAGAAGTGACCGGAATAGAGTTGTCTATGTTTACAAGTATGTAATATTGTTGACGCAATTATTCACGTCTGGTATTACGAGATGGGGTACAAATGGCGATATTGCACATTTCCACCTCATTTGTTTAATAAAAAAAATAAACACTTTATAGTAAATCTTTGACAAACAAGGAAGTAGTTCTGAACGTTTATGAATGATTACGTCGACTTATTACTAAAATATAATGGTTTTGTATTCATTTCAATATATCGACGTCAGAATTGTAATTTTATATGCAAAATTAATAGTCGAGACAAAAAAGTGAAACTTTGAGTTGAAATCAACCGGTCAATCGGGTTCATTTCTTCTGACGGTTATATTTAAGCTGATATTTGAAATATTAAGGGCAATTATTAATAATACTGATATTTATCTTGAATGTGTAATTGAATCCCGTTAGTTTAAAATTATACGGGCTCAGTAATCAGAGAATGAACTCACGACTGGAATATGACTATTGCTTTCTTCTATATTGGAAGCTATGTGACATAACTACTTAAAGAACCGCTTATGTTGTTAGAATCAATTTAACAATCAGTCAAAAGAGTAAAAGAACTTGTGATTTCCGCATAGATCTTAATTTAATGGATTGAATATCTTGACTCGGACTATACATTCAACACTAGGTTTTAAATAGAAGTTAAAACTTGTATTAAATGTTGCATTGTTTAATAATGAACGGCATACATTGTCATGGATTTACATAACAAAATGTCAGTCAAGTAGGTAGCAATTACTGCATGTTTATGTTTTGTTTGATGCGCACAGTTGACCACGCGTCCTGTACAATGTCTTGCCCTTGCACTTCTATGCGACGTCGCGCGCGCCGGCGAGGCAGTCGGACAGATTGTCACGTGGCGTGCCAATTCTTCTGCTTCCCAAGTTGTAAGTTCATAGTTCTGATTGAAATTAAATAGAACGTAAATCGTATTATTATAACGACGATTTTTAGATACCAAACTTAGTGAGAAGAGGCGCCACGATCGCGAACTTACTAGCAGCTATCTTTCGTGATGAATGTCACGCGAAAAAGATTTTATTAAGCGATACAGGTGTGATACAAGGTAAGTTTTCCTCTGTATTAGAATATTAAGTTATTTTTATTAAGGTTTCATTTCCATGTTAACGTGTTAATGATTTATGTTTATATATTCTTGTTTTACTGTTACGTTAAAAATTATTAATATAACTACTAGCTTTCCCCGCGACTCTGTCCGCATGGATTTAAACTAAGTAGCCTATGTGATATTCCTGACTATACATCCATACCAAATTTCATCGAGATCCGGTCAGCCGTTTAGGCTACAAAATCTAACAAACATCTATCTAAACTTTCCATTTATAATATTAGTAAGTTTAGTAAGAAGTAAGATGTTTGAATCATTCGTGATAATCGAACTGCTTTGATATATTTGAATTTGCTTTGCTATTGAACGTATTCACGATCTTACATTTCGTACTTATCACGAAAACCAATAAACAACGATGTAATATTAACAATATGATTTGTATTGTGGTCATACAACTAAATATGTGACGTATAAAGTATTAGGCATATTTAACTTATTGTGTAAACAGATTTAGACTGTCCCTTGATGCGTTCGGAGATAAAAGAACAGATATATTGTTTACGTCCTGAACAATATATTCGTGGGAATGTCATATGCCTACCGGCAGCTGATATAGCGGGATCTCGTTTGTCAAAGGTTACCATTTTATCATTATTAAATTTGGATATAATTCTACATATACTTAAAATACTATATTTACAGGTGTTTGCTATTCTTCATATGCTTTCCAAAGACTTGGCCTTTAAAGTATCGCTCGCAGATGATACTTACAATCTATACAAGAATATCAAGTTGCCGCCACAAGATGAGGTGTCTGCACTTCAATACTAGTCAACACACTATATAAATTTCATTGACATAAGCACTTTTTTGTAAACTATTCCATTTTATAAAGTATAATTTTTTCCTAATAATTTAACGACTATTTAGTAGTCTAGTAATAGATTTACTACATTAGTAGTTACTTATTCTATAATTTCAGGCAACACTAATTCTGTGTTCACATTATCTAACATTGAAACTTAACGAAACATGGATTGAAACTAAAATTCTTAGCCCGCTTTTGTTACCGCAAGGTGCCGAAACTCTCCAAGAATTGGTAGAAATAGCGCAGTGAGTTCATCGTATTTATTATGACCTATTTTTATGTGTATGCAAAAGTAACGGTTATTTTTAAATTCTAGCGGTTGGGCAAAAGAAATAAAACAAATGCAAGAAGAAATATTCATAAGAAGTCAAAAAGAGGTATGTTTTTCAAAATGTTTTAATGTTAATTACTTTTGAAGCTACTTGTAAACGAAAAGTTCGAGAATTGTATAGAACAGCTACACCTTTTTGTCCACAGCAGGCTAGATGATTACTTTGATCACCTTAACCTCTTATTTGTCTTTAGGATTGCCTAGTTGAATGTTCTTTCTACGAGTTCCTTAGCCGGGCTCGACTGAATATTGCACTGGACGCATTACGTGAAGTCCGCTGTATGGCGAGGGCATCAGATCGCCTTCAGATATCACACGATCTGTTGCACGACGCTGTTATGGCGCAGAAACTTAGACATGATCTATCGCAGAGTCTGAACACAGAAATAAAGAAGACATACATCGCCCCTTTAGATGCAAAGGTGATCACACACCTAACATCGTGTTTATGTTTAACATTTGTAGAAAATTTAGAATTTAAAACACCTTAATTTTTGCATTCATCGGAAGAGTACCAATAAAGCATAACTTTTATAACAAAGACTCTTTCAGCATCTGCACTTTTTATGTTATTTGTCTATGGTCAAGTTTCTTTTAGGTAATAGATTTCATGCCATTAAGAACATTTCATCTCTAATGAGCCAATATTTTATTTCAGAACACAATTGGTCAACACGTGAAAGTTACAAGCATAAAACCGAAGCAAATCGATTCCAAAGATCTATGTGTTTGCCATGTATGTAGCAAAGTTCATTGTAGACATAAGCAATTTTAATTAATCTATTGTCTATTAAAGTTTCAGAACTATGCTCAATTTGTTTTTTATAAAATTCGATAAACAACAAACTTCATCAGACGTGTATAAACGGCAGTAACACCAAATAAATATGCTAATCTCTTTAAAGCAGTGAGAGGGATTCCGAAACATCAGATAACTGGTAAGTTACATGTTTCAAAATAAAACCAACAGGTACCATGTAATTGTTTATAATCAAAAAAGTACATGTCAATACGCCCTACTTATATCGCCCTTAAATGAAGACTTAAAAAAAGAAGTAAATCAGTCACTAATCAATGATCTATAATAATATGGATGCTTTATACGTTAAACAACATTTTTATTACATAATTCGTTAACACAGACAATTCCAAAAAATATAGTGAAATTATAACTATTGATTTGCGTTTGTCTACCTCTACACAAAACTGGAAGAGATATGAACATTCTGGAAATTACCAATTAATTTGTAAAAATTAGAGTATTTAATATTGCGTGTCGACTGCGGTGAAACTCGTATCAATACATATCGTGGTCCCTCTCTTTTTATACGCAAAAAACAAAGACAACATGTGCCCATACAAGCGTCACGGCAGACCAGTTTAACTGTTATTCATTTACTTGATTATTTTAATATTGCATAGTTCGAATTCATATGAATCTAATCTATATTTCTGGGGAAACATAAAACCAAGTTGAAACATTTAAAAAGAATTTTTTTTTCTCTTTGTAATAACAATTGTTACGATCATAAAAGCTTTCTTAGACAACATGTCGTAGAGTTCAAATGTTTGTGGGTTTCGACTGCAGTGATATTTGTGTTAATACATGTCATCGCTCACATTCCCTTTGAAAGAACAGACACAGCATACAACAGACAAATGCCACTGCAGTGTAAACCTACCGTTATAACGTTACATAATTATAAAATATTGAAAATTGACTAGGAACATAATTATGATTTATATTCAAACAGTTAATATTATTTCTCTTACAATAGACAACATTTCCAATATTCATTCATATTTAGTATATGGCCAGTGATTGTATAGAATATGTTAACTACATAAAAGCCATACGATCTAAGAATTGGTATACTATGATTAAAGAGTTTAGCAGATCACAGATTTATTATACTACAACAGATTGACTTTGAACACAATTTTTTTGTACAGAAGGGACATATATTCATAATGTTTAATCACATGCCGTAAATTGTATTTTTATTATTAATTTATAAAAAGTTTTTTTGACAAAGTAAAAAAAAACAAATGGAAAAACACTTTTAGGAAATTGATTAGGCTATATGCTTTTTATCACTTGAAACAGGAGATTGTAAAAGTCCTCATTTTCTAATGCCATATAATAAATCTATGAATAAACCTAACCTTTTGATTATAGCTAATTGGCACTTCTAATTAGTTTAATAAACTGCCATTTCATATTTAAGGCACTACGATATCGTATCTACCGTATCAATATAAGTAAATTATAAAAACATATTAAAACATAGTAAAACATTATTAAATATTGTTATAGGTGGAGCTGATTTAGAACATTTTCCTTTTAAAAGTCTTATAACGAAAATTTTAAACTACGAAGATTTTTTTTCGATTAAGGGCTTGTCCCACAATTCTTATAAATTGTCAGCTAACAATCTAACGTATTAAATATGTGATGGAAGTATCGGATTTTGGTAATCTAACAGTGACGTCACTTTTAAGCTATCTGAGTCTATCAGCCAGTAGTGGGACAGGCCCTTAAATTTTTTATAGCGTCACCGATCTTGTTTTGTTTATCATTATTCTATTATCTAATGTCATCAGTTTAATATTTTTAAAGTTACTGAGCTATACTTTTAGAAACAAGATATACTAAGCTCAACTATTAATACAATTAATTTATATTTGGAGAATTTTAATAAATACTTTTTAAATATTCTCTAATCCTTAAAATATATTATTCTCTTGAATAATCAACAATGTGTTAAGTTTAAAAACTATGTACTATTTGCCAAGACAAGGTTTTGTTTTGTATGAAATCTGCAGTTATTTTTATGATTAACACAATATAAAAATTAAAGAATTTGTACGTTTTCAAAAACATTGTCTCATAAAATATTATCAATAAAATCATATAAATATTAGATTACAATTAGTTTGAACTTATCGCGATCCTAAATTAAAATCGAATAATTAAGATTATCGTGATAGTGTTTTTCTTCGAGTCTCAAAATATGGCAGGGTATTGTCACTTAACCGAGCATTAAATATATTGCTTGTGTTACATTTATTTTATTAGTAGATATGAAATATGGGAAATCAATTTACAATAACAATGGCAATAGTTCACTAGAAATCAGAGTTACTTTTATGTAGAAATATAAATAAATAAACATAATTTTTTCTGGGAATTAGTTTAAACGTTTTTTGTCACAAGAACATGCCCATTTTATGGGTACACTTATATATCTGATACAAAACATGACTTATATCTTTCCTAGTTTTTACACTTAGCAAACACCGTAAGATATGCTAGGAAATGATTTCGTGAAATAAATAATGAAATTCTTAATAATGCTGACAGCAATTGTGTAAATCATATAATCACAGTTGTACATAATAATAAATAATGATGAAATGAGTATATTGGTTTTGAAGGACGTAAAACATAATGAAAACAGCACACAAAAAATAAAGTTATATCTACACCCCTATTCTATGACTATAACATGATATTACATATATATTTGGAAGTGAGTAAATAAATTACAAATACACTCATGAAAGTATTTAAAGAAAATTAATCAATCCTAATAAGTCACACACTTTACAGCGCGAGTATTAAATATTTCCTTAAATATAATATAATAATATTTAATAATCAACAGTATTTCCAAATGCAAACTAAACAATTGCGAAATTCATGAGTGTTGGAAAAAAAACATAAATCGTCATGTAAATTTCTGTTCTGCAAGAATATAAATATTCCACAGCAAATACATCCATTGCAACATTTTAAATATTTCCATGAGTGTTGTTTTTAGGCCATTTATAGGCCTTTCAAAGTACCCTACGGGTATACTTACTTAAGAATGATCAGACCCTTGTTCAGAGTTACTGAACATTGATGCTACCATGCTGTCAAACTCTGGCACTGCATCTTCAAACATCTTTAATTGTTTAGCAAGAGACTCTGAATCCGATGAGGCCGAGGTATCAGCTAACATATCGGACCAATCTTCAGTTGCTGTCCTCGCTTGCAGACATTCTTGGTAGAAATTAGCCAGTTCTGCTATCGGACTGCCTTCAGCAAATGGAAATTCCTGGAATATATCACATTATACATTAAAAACTGTAATAGTTAAATGAATAAATGATAACAAAACTTAAAGTCTTCACGATTCGAAAAATTGTTACATCTATACCCAATTTTATAGAGATGTCTTTAAAAGTTTTGGAATTAACAAGGTAAACATCCAAACATTCCTATTTATTACATTAACTATATTTCCCCCGCGACTTCGTCCGCGTGAAATTAAAAAGAATAAAAGTGAGTAGCCTATGTGTTCTTCCCGATTCCATGTCTGTGCCAAGTTTCATCGAGACCCGTTTAGCTGTTTAAGCTACAAACTCTAACAAACATCCATCCATACATCTAAACTTTCGCATTTATAATATTAGTAAGAAGTAAGATAAGAAAAATTAGAACTTTTGTAAAATAAATGAGTAAATACCCTGATATTTATGTCTAGCCTGTCCCACTAGGTTGCCTGTAAGATATCACTAATAGAAGTAAGGCCGCCCTTGCACTTTGTAGTTAATAAGCTTAGTTTTAGGTTGCTTTTGTAATGGTTTTGCATTAAATGTTAAATAAATACTTTTATTAAACTACTCACCATCAAACTGGTATATTTACTGCTCTCCCTTGGCTTTGGCACTTCAATAGCTTTACTCGAATGTGCTTGTACCTCTTCTATTTCAGTATTGTCCGCAGTTTTGGTTTCTTTTGAGTTCTCAGATATAGCTAACAGTTTCATTCTCTGTAACACAAAATTAAATTAAGTTTATCAATTCCATTTTCTATATATTTGTAGTAACGAAGTATAAAGTATTATATAACGAGATGCATATGTTAAGATGGATGTGTGGTGTGACAAGAATGGATTAAGATAAGAATGTGTATATTAGAGGAATTTTGAAAGTAGCCCCAGTGGTGGAGAAATTGAGAAGCAATAAGTTAGGGTGGGATGGACATGTTATACAACGAGATGTTGGGGACATGAACCAGACAGGAAAGTGAGAAGATTGAACATGGATGACTACAAAGGTAGAGAAAGACTGAAGAAAGTAAGGATGGATTGTATTAAAGAGGACAGAAATGTATGGAAGAGCAGTACATGGGGACCCTACATAGGATAAGGGCAAGTTGATGATGGTTTATTTGTCACTTTATAAGTTTATTCACCTCCTCCATTTTGTCCTTTTCTGCGAGCAGCCAGTTCATAGGTGGTTCAGGAGGTAACTGTTGATACAGCGATTCATGTAATTCTTTAATTTTTTGTACATCTACAAAAGCACCCGCTGTCAATGGTTTCGACAGGTCAAGTTCCTTCTTTTCCATATGATTTCTCCTGAAATATAACATGTTATATAAAGAAATACATTGCCAGATATACTGAGAAGTTCTACCCAAAGTTAAGGGTGACAAGGCTTTAGTTATAAACACTGGCGCAGAATGGATTGGTTGATTTTAGAGACATCATTTGAATTTCCTTGCAGATATGTACATGAGCATTGGTAACACATGGTCAGGGGCACTAATACTAAAAATCCTCTTTATCTCCAACAAGAATGCTTAGCAAAATGTACAACCTTATAATGAACAAAGTTGTTTTCGAATTACCCATGGGTCTCATGGGATTGTGGCATTAATGATTAGATAAAATTTTTACATCTATAACAATATTATAAAGAGGAAAGATTTGTATTTTTACATGTATTGAAATAACTCGAAAACAACTTAGCAGATTCCAAAAATTATTTCACCATTAAAAAGTTATATTATCAGCAAGTAACATAGGCTATACTTATTATCATTTTTTTAATTGCACGCGGGAAGTCGCGAGCAGCAGCTAGTACTTTAAAAATTTTGATTCTAGGTCTAAATGCTAAATTCTAAAATATCTGTATTGTCTAGTACTAAAAAAACATGCTATACCTCTGGTTTTCAGTAGGGAAGTGATCACTTTTCATCATAATATCCCCACAAGAGTTCACAGTAGTATATCTAGCTCTATCCTCAGGTAACATCGTCATTTTTGTTCTATATACAACTTCAATTAGTATTGTTCCAATTGCGGTATGCAGTTCACTTACTTTAATAGTCTTATGTTTTTCACCTTAAATATTATGTTTAAAATATTACATTTAATTATAAAACAATGTAAGCTAGTATGTTACTACTGAAAATACGAGTTTTATAGGTCTGTAATTTCTTCAACATTTAACTTGTTAATACCTACTTATTAGCTAGGTTATAGTTATCAGAGAACAACATATTTATGAAATAAATCACTTAACAATTATACAGATTTATTAAATGAATCATGTGAGTAATTCTGTTTACCACTGATAATATTAATTACTAAAAAATCAATTAATTACATTGTCTCTCATGTTTTGTTAGTGTATTACTACACATTTCAATCAGAAAGCAATAAGATTTTTCAAACAGAATTAGAAGATAACACAACTCACCTAACACATCCAAATTAGGTGGTCCACCATAAATTTTGTGTGAAATTTTATATGATTCTTTAAATTGAGATCGTGATAATTTATATGCAGGTGTGATTCTTGAAATACTAAGAGTCGATTTAAGCATTATGCCCATTCTATAGTATATTGTAGACACAGATATTGTGCCAATATCACATCCCGGTAGCAATTTTACAGTCCATACTTCAAGCACCATTTCATCGCCATCATTGGTTCTAAGTATAATTTCAATACAGAGAACCTTAGCAAGTGCCTCAATGACTTCTCCGTTTAAAACTCTTTTTGTATCTGTATTGATTCCTGGTTCATCTGGTATTGACAAATTAAACTAGAAAGGAACATTGAGTTAAAAATATTATAAGATATTGTAAAAAAACTATAATATACAACAAATGTTACAATGATATTTGGAAGAGAATCCTACCCATGTTAAACTATTAGGTGATGATGTTAGATCTTCGAAACCTTTTGGAGTCGTATAGTCATGAGTAATCTTTTTGCCCTGTCTGCTTTGTACAACTATCTGAACGACCTTTAGTGCAAGTATTTTAGTAAACTTGTACAACTTATAGCGATCTTGGGAGTCCAAATTTGTTGTAGCCATTGTTATTAATCATTAATAAATGATAAATATGTTATAATATTCACAATAGTACAGAGCACAATAAAAGTGTTATCTTTTAATTAAACACAATAAAACATGCTTGAATGTGTGATTAAATTTCTAGGTCAATAATTATGAATTATAAAACATAAATTTACAACAAAGAGTATAAAATAATTTCTAATAATAATATGGCACATAGATAAAATAATGTCTTAAAATGTGGTAATTTATTTTCAATTAACCGATTTCGATACATCGATATATTTTGACAAAAATAGCGATCATTGATATAGCCTGACCTGTTAAGTACAATACATACAAAGTACACTGAGGTGGTTATAGGGATTTTTTTATTTAAGAAAAATCGTCGACAGAAAGGGACCCTAGAAAACTCCTGCCTGACTATGTATCTGATCTGAGATAGGTTAGACTTTAAAATTTGAGTTATTTGGCCCGGCTTTGAACGAATTAATATTAGTTATAAGTTAATTTTAAATGCGAACAAGTTTTTCGTTGTAATTAATTACAAACAACTAAAAATATGTTTTAGTACTGACCCCAAGATATCAATTTAATCGACATGGAAAAGTTACTGCCAACACCGGTGACAAAAAAAAAGTTACACTATTGACACTTCTCTGACACTTGACAAATCTAAATTCAAATTTTTTTAAAACATTGTCGTGGGAAGTTATTGAGAGATTATTTTGTAATTGAGTAAATAAAAATTTTAATTAAAATAGTTTGTTTCTAATATCTAAACGTTGTATTTTTTTTTCATCTTAATTTCGTCTATTAGTATTTAAAAAGTTGTTCTTTAAAAATTGTTACATTGGCACTTAAAAATGCTTCATTTGGGTGAGGTTTTCCCGAATTTCACTGCTGATACAACTCAAGGTGAAATAAACTTTTACGAATGGCTTGGCGAATCGTAAGTTATAATTTTTTTTTTCAATAACAACTTCCTCAGAATTGTCTTGTAGAATATTTGTTTAACCACTATTTTATGTCATGTGTTATTTTCAGGTGGGGTATTCTCTTTTCGCACCCTTCTGACTTTACACCAGTATGTACAACAGAGCTGGCGAGGGTTCTTACGTTAGTACCAGAATTCAAGAAACGCAATGTAAAAGTCATTGGATTGTCTTGTGATACAATTGAATCTCACAATGATTGGTGTAAAGACATCCAGTGTTATGCAGGTAAATATTACATACATAATCACATTGTAGGTCAATTGATTTTACAAATGGACTCATCTTCATTATCTTCCTAAGACTCTCTAAATGAGGATTGGCACAGTGTATTCTACTCTTCCATACATCTCTTTTTGCCATCATATTTAAACACAAATACATCCTATGCATATCCCCATTCATAGAATTGATTGACATCTTTTACAGCCACAGCTGTAGGGGTAGAGAATAATTACTTTGTTTTTATGTTAATTATAATAATAGTAGCTGACATTACATTAATGTTTAATAGGTTGCAATGAGAGTGAAGTATTTCCATATCCCATAATTGAGGATAAGGCCAGAAATTTGGCAGTGAAACTGGGAATGGTGGATAAGGATGAACTTGATTCTTCGGGAATACCATTAACAGCTCGCGCTGTCTACATTATTGATCCCAAAAAGAAGTTCCGTCTCTCCATTCTCTATCCAGCAACTACTGGCAGAAACTTCGAGTAAATATGACATAATTAATTCCTTTTAATTTTATTTTCTTTTTTATTTTAATAGTGCTAACATTCTTTTCCTCTTATGACAAACTAGCTGTTCCCATGCGGCTTCATCCGCTTGAAATTATAAAAACTTTATTTTAATGATTACATTTGTGAAATTCAAATGCATAAATCACAACCTTGGTTCCTTGATGTTGGCAGCTCGTAGCTTACGGTCTCTCTCCCACATCAGGGTTTTTATCTAAGTTATTTTACCCCTTAAGTTTCATAGTGAGGAAATATGTAGCTTGTGTTTACTAATATATTAAATTTAATATTTCTAAAATGTTTCTAAAACATTGTGCGCAAACTCTGCGAGAATAATCCCAAGGAGATGATGACATTTAAATAAACAATCATTTTCTTTATTCGAAAATGACTTAATTTAAATATCTAGATGATATTCCCAGCTATAATAACAATAATACACTTTGTTTCAAGCTACACTCCTTTTTTGCTCATAGTTTGTTGGTAACAAAAAAAACTTAATACCTATGTTAGTTACACATACTATATGAATATTTTATTTTGTAACTTTAATATACATATTTTAAAATGGAGAATAGATTGTATATATAGTCACAAAATAAATGAAGTGTGACTTCTCTTTCCATCTTAGTACGGTTAAACAGTGTTTTTTGTTATCTTTGCTCTTGGTATAGTGAGAGTTTAATAACAAATAATCTACTACTAAAATTGTTTCCCATAAACAGACTGGAGTATGACAAAAATTCAACCTTGTGCTAAAACATAGTGTCATTATTACAGTCAAGGGTAAATAGCATGAATTATGTGAAACAGAGTACAATACCAAAAATATATTTAGAAATTCTTTGATAAAATAAAATTTAAGGTAACATATTTACGTCCATTGTGTTTGCAATTACATATGGTAGTTACGTTCTAGAAAAATATTGTTTCAAGGCTCATTATCCATAATGGTTTGAAATAGTATTGAAACATGCCAACTTTGTATAACAATGCAAACACCATTGGAGTTAAATGTGTAACTATTTTAGTACAAACTTTGTTGCTCCAATTAAAAGAAAAACGAATAGTTGGTGTAAATAAAAAAAAAATGGGGCCACCTACAGAAAGAGGCGCCATAGGTCTGACATACGCCTCTCTTCCCCCTCTATTGTAATGGTAAAAAAGAGAGCGCCATAGAAATATCGATATTTCGGTTGCTAGTATAGCAGAAACCGACACTTTGTATTCGGTATCAATTCGTTGCAGTGTCGGCGAGTGGTAGATTCGTGGTGTAATGTGCTACAACCTTTAACTGTTTAGAATGCATAAACCTATATTCTTGACTAAAGTTGTTTTTGTTTACAGTGAAATCCTGCGCGTACTGGACTCCCTGCAATTGACAGATAAGGCTAAGGTAGCTACACCTGTAGATTGGAAGGTTAGTTTTCCTTTTATTTTCCCATTGTTTCTATATTAATTACTTCATGTTTTACAGAAAGTTTTGGTATCATTTTCACAATTGGACATATACACGCATCTCAAGACGAGACATAATTATTAGTCTGTTATTAATGTTTCCTTAGTCTGATAATTGATGGTATACTTGAAAAGCGCATAATCGAACTAGGGATGTTGTCAAATTTCGACTAAACGCAGAAAAAGTTCACAATTAGGAAATTTGAATTCTACAGTTCATATCGATACTGTCCAAAAAATGCGTACGGTATAAAATTTCTGACAGTTTACAGCGCAATCCAATAACAAATTGATAAATTTCATAATCGGTCGGTGACATCTATAGAGAAGCTTAGTAAACTTGTAAGAGGAATAAATGTTGACAGAGTTGCGAGAGTACACGTAACGTCTCAATGCACGGTTATAAAACAGCGGCACGGCCTTCGCGTGGGTTACTAGTATTGTTTTCGTGGTACTCGTTAATTCTTACCAAGGTTATAACGAGTAGTATGATTCTAATTTGTAGTAAACCTCAATATGGTTCGATCACTAAAGATTTGCCACTTTCATTTATATATCAAAGGACTTTTTACTGTTGTAACCTGACTGGTTAGTTAAATAGATAAAAAACATATGTAATATGTTTCATAGTGACTCGATAGTGGAAAACTCTGCGTTGTTACAGATGGGCGATGACTGCATGGTACTACCAACAGTACCTGAAGAAAATATTGACACGCTGTTTCCACAAGGGGTCACCGTAGTCCCATTGCCTTCTGGCAAGAAATATCTCAAGAAAACGCCCTGTCCGGATGTTTAATCGTAGACTGATGTTCTTTATTTTTATTTTTTGTCATTAATGGCAAACGCCAGCCACTGATGTGTGCATTTTTGTTTTGTTTTCATTTAATTATTAAATAATGCATTAGAAAAACGTAATTTTGGTCTCGGCTGTTTACCCATTACCCAAATACATTTCTGTTAAACGTACAAAGAGTAAATAGTTATTGATCATAACTTTTCATTCGCTTTTTTAAAAAGTGTGATGATTAAGGATAGTCTGGTACTTCAACTTCTACACAATTGCAAGGTCTCCATTCTCTGTAACGATAAATTAATAGTGTTCGAATGAAATAAAAAGATACAGATTAATGAAAAATAAGACACATGTAATGAAATATAAAATAACTACAAAAAAGAACCTATAATCGTATGGCAGCCACCGCTGCTCTTAATATGTACCGCACTATTGCTAAACCAACGGACAACGACTTTAAAACTGGTTTCCGATCTCATATCTTGCCTCTCCCGTATTGCGGTTTGATTTTTTTTTTATTTTTGATTGTGATATACAGTGAGTGAGTTATACCATATTATACACAAATATATTTTATAAAAGATACTACTTTATGCCAAATCTTAAATTTTATCTTTTTTACAATCAGCAAGCAATTTTAATGGGTTCAGTAAGTGTGGTATTATTGAAGAATGTTAAATTATTATTTACTTTTTGGATAACTTAAAATATAAACTGACCCTTTTGCTTAGTAAAGAGGTTTCTCGTAGTCCATTTATTTACCCTGCCTGCCTAAAAAATTCCTCAACTTTATTTTTATAACATAACACCTTCGTACTACTTTGAACACAGACCACAACACTGTGACATTAAGATTTAACCTTTACGTTTCGAAATCATAACAAGTAATGGAGTCGAAGTCAGCAATTATCACATGAGTGGGATTCTGTGTTAAGAAAAACACAAATTTCTGCCCAATACATACAACAAATTTCACGAAACAGTTTAGGTTTATTCATTGATGATTGCTGAGCAGTTTCAGTCCGCGGGTACTATGCGACAGGTGCGTCTGCATCGGAGATGTAGATGAAAACATTGTTAGGGATCTGGTCGACACCCCGAAGCCCGACGGTCGGTAGGCAGCCCAGTGAAAGCCCTCACTTTCATCGTAGTGGGGCGGCCCGGCCACCGCCACAACAAAAGTGAACGTCACCGAGAGCGCATACCACGCGCGTCGGCCAGTCGCTTGACAGTACGTTTTCGAGCGTGTCTTACGCGTCTCGTGCGGCCCGTGCTCTCGCGATGCCCAAGTGGTGGTTGGTGGTGCTACTGGCAGCGAGTGCGGCGGCGGGCGGCCGCCTGCCCCGTACCTCGCCGCCCGCCTCAGCGCCCGCGCCCGCGCCCGCTCCTGCGCCCGCTCCGCGCCTTCCCCAGAGGAACTTTACCCTGTCCAGCAGGACATCCGTGCGGAACAGGTCAGTCCTCGATTTACACAATTAGTAACATGTATTTTACTGCAGTATGTATCTACGTTTGCGAAGGTCGTCAATAACCAGATGTTGTTTATGTATTTCTTTAGGCCTTCAAACCTCACATTACTTTTATTTTGAGTTGTTTGTACGTCGAAACAGGGTTTTGCTAGGGTACATATGTTGAAATGACTAAAATTTAATTTAATAATAGGAATATATTGTTAATGAATGGCGATGTAAGATTAAATTTGTATTCTCTGCTGCTTAGTATGACTATCGACAATCCTTTTCGATCAATCTGTGAAAGCTTAGAGTTAAACTATGAGCCCTATAAACAGGTAGTGTACATAAGGTCTATTATTAAGACAAAAGCAGTATGTCATCATCATTTTTCCGGCTTATCCTACTCCCGTAGGGTAAACAATGGTAGAACAGATTGATAGATATTTCAGTATTCATTTTATTAGCGTATTACTATACAGAAGGCCCGTTTATCTGTCACCCTAAATGCTTAAACATAACAGCAACTGTTGTGTTTTTTATGATAAAAAAATTGTGTCCTTTGGCCTAACTAATTTATTTGCTAGCGTGTAGGCGATAATGAATATTTGCTTTAGTATTTCGAACGCTTTGACAAAAAAACGTATTTTACAAACGAGTGGTTAACGGCTTTGCTTGTTTTAAATTGATGATTTTAATATTTGTAATAGAAAAATATGCTTACGTTCTAAAATCTTTATATTAATGTTAAAATAAATCGTATATATAGATCACTATGATCCACCATGTACAGTCACCTTCGGTCGCGGTTATACAGTTACAATAAAAATATCTTGCAAGTAACTCTCAATAAGCGTAATTAACACCGCCTTTTAAAACAAACAACCAAAGTTTTTTGTGTCCTGATTGTTGTTTAGTGCGAAAATGTTATTATTACAACATTTACCAACCGTTGTTTAATTAAACGTAATGTTTAAGCAGTTATCGCTTTAGAGGAGAGTAAATAGCTTGCGACGCTAAGTGTACTTTTGACGAGCTTTTACTTTGTTATATTAATATAATAGAAAAACCACAACGAACAAATTAAATTAAAGTCCGATTACTCATTGTTTAGTTTTTACTGAACAATGATTTGATAATCTGATCCAATAGTGAGACTTATTCATTTTATTTAAATAAATATAAGTTGCTCAATCACAACACATAAAGTTCAATTAACGAAAGCAACAATTTCGATCAAGTATAACCTAAAACGCGCCAAGGTCTATATAGTAGGTTAGTATAATCAAAAATACCAGTAAAAACGTTACCACATTAATACTTCCTTTTAATTGCATGCAATATTGATCAAATTGCCATAAATGTATATTTGTTGAGTTACTTTCGTGTTGCCAACTGTGTCCGCTAAGAGCAGATCAATTTTTCAACTTGTCAAGTACAACCAGTGTGCTGCGCAGTCCACCTCGCAATGAATGCTTTAATCGTGGTACTTGTCAATCTCTGTAGGATTTATATCATAGTGAACACTGCAACTTCAACCACTTTCACTGTTTGCAACGCCTTTGTATGTGTCACTATGAGCTGACCTCACATGTTTATGGATTATTTAAAGTCGACATTTCCGGCCGGTTTGGTTAAACTTAACGTTTTCGTCAGTACTGTTGTTATGCGTGGAACATAACTAATTACATGTTTGTTTTATTGTATGTAGTTTGTTTGTTAGTGGTTAATTAGTGTATAAAAACAGTCTAGATTTAGGCTTTCGCATATAAGGAAAATGGTTACCGACTTAAATAGACTAACTTACTAAGGAATTAAAAGTAGGTGCGCATTGAAAGGAGTGGAGGCTAACGATTTAAATGTATTAATCAATTTTTAAAAGGAAACCAATGGAAACGGTTTTGCAATCACGGTTTGAATGTCCCGATTTTAATGAGTTGACTACCTAAAAGAAAGTTCCGTTCGGATATTAAACGGACATAGTAATTATGCGTACGTGTAATAAAATTTTCTTGTAGACAAGTAGTCATTCAAAAATGCCATTCAACAGGCCCGGTTCCGGAGCAGCGGCGGCGTGGGGCATAGAGTTGTCAAAAAACAATAACATTACTCCACACATGCACGTCATTCTGCCTCTTGGCAAACAATGCTCATTTAGTTTAGGCACGTTTTATGCATTGAGTTTTGGTTACCGGTACTGTTATTGGGTGGTAAACAATTTTGCATAATTTCAAAGACTTATTATTACGCATATGAGCATTTCTAGGTCGTTAGTTATTTTTATACTATCGATATACGATCTAATTTGGTACCGTGTTAGAAGTACAAAACGGTCGACATAAGAAGTAGTAAGAGAAGTACTACGTTGAAATAGAACCTAAGAATAGAAATGATCGGTTTTTCAAAGAATACTGAAGAGTAGGTATCTAAAGCGAGAAATTAGGGCTGATGTAGCGCCAGTAGAGACCAGTTGATCTCTGTCTATCCTGAATTACCCAAGATGTAATTTTTCGGTCATAAATCTAAACCGTATAAAATGCATTATTGTATTTCTCTAAAGTATTTCTGGTCCACTGCTTGCATGATTTCATATATTGTTTCTCATCGCGATGTCTTTGCAAAACAACTACAATGACGCGATTTGATATTGTCATCTCTCTTAAAACTTGATAAAACAACAACTTTTTCTACAGGTATTTAAGCGATGAAAACGTAAACGTATGTTAACTATTTCTACTACATGAGTTTTACAATCAAAATATGATTTAGTCTATACTAGGTAAGCTGGCTACCGTAAAAAGTTTGAATGTAAAAGTGGTCCAAACAATTAGTAACTTATACTGGACCACTTGAGTTGCTCAAACTAAAGTTGCCTCAAGTAAAACAACCAGATTTTTCCGTTTATGTGTTTTTCTCTTTTGTTCATTTTGTGGTTTATTAGACCAATTCAAAAGAATAATTTTATAAAGCATGATTGTAATGAAATATATTTACACGTGCTCTTTGGAACGAGAGCTGCCTTTAATAACTCATGGTCACATTCACTTCCTTAACAGTCACTAACATACATATAAAAAAGAATACATATACTTTTTATTATTAATTAAAACGAAATATTATTTTCAATACCTGCGACATCCAAGTAATTACATAAATAGAGTTAAACACATAATCTTACTCTTATATTATAAATGCGAAAGTTTAGATGGATGGATGGTTGTTACAATTTGTAGCCTAAACAGTTTAAGGAAATTTGGCATAGAGGTAGCGGATAGTCTGGAAAAACATATTGACTACTAACTTTGTCTTTTTTTTAATTACGTAGACGGAGTCGCGGGCGAAAGATAGTAGGAAACAAATGTTTAATAAACCTGATAATAAAAATAAATAATAATGATTAGCCAAAAGTATGAAAATCGGATACAAAACAAGCAGGGATGTATTAAACATACTGGGGGCCAGGGTTCGAAAAAATCTCACGCCCTCAAGGCCCGGCGCCACATACTCCGGGTTTAGGCGGCCCTGTATTACTATAAAATTTAGGAAACAGAATAGGGACCGAATGATGATCTTATATGTATAAATGAGTGTGTGATATTTTTAGAACACATTACAGTCCGCCAAGTGCTCGCGTTAATACAACGCAATCACTCGTCCTTGTCTTACTTAATCAGAGGCGATACACTCCCAATAAAATCAGTAAAACATTCGGATGCAACAAGGACAAGTAGAGTAGTGCAGTTATCGTGGACGTTCTACACAAAAAGAAGTTATTACTGATTTTCCAAAAAGAAAGAGAGGGATGACAACGTATTCTTGTGGAGAAGTTTAAACAGAAGACAAGATCACACAGTGAATTTATGAATTATTACGTTAGAAGAGAACTATTTTAATTACTTTATCTAGCTAAAAATAAAATGTTAATGTTAATATTTAGAAAAATACACGCAATTAAGCAAAACCAAATTTCGTTAGTTAATATATTTACTGAATATTACTTAGTAATGCGAATGTAAAACCGTTCACTTGTGATTCTAATATAACGTCGTTTATATTTTAATTCACATTTGGATTTAAACTCACAATGTAACTTTCAAATGCATTTAAAATTTCATGATAATTGAAATTTAAAGTTTCAACGCTATTATACTACTGTGTATTAATTTTTAGAATTCTTAAATTAGTATTTTTGACCGACTTCCCAAAAGGAGTTACTCAATTCGTCTGTATGTTTTTTATTAATGCAGTTTCCGAATGTTTGTATTAAAATTTTAGGTTGATAATATTACTGATATTGACTACATAATTTAAACATAAATTACGCGTTAAAGTGTATTTCCTTTGTAATATAATTCAATCTTATTTATATCATTGGCTACGGTCTGTCCCGCTTAAAGTGATTTGACATATTATACTATCTCACGTAAACAATACCAAAAAAACAGTGTTAGATATTTTATGTAAAAAATATCTATACATTGGTGATCTAGATTTTTAGGCATTGCTACTGTTCACAAAAAATATATTAAATATTGACAAGCGAAACTTATTACATTTAATAACATAATGGCGATTTATTCTGCAGACATTCACTGCCGGGCGACTTTTTCTTAAGCTCTAAACGCAGACAGGTGGAGGCGCACTAAACGAGATCAAGGTCGTAAGGCGTTATTGTTGTATGTCTAAGTCTAATTGCCGTAGCTAATATTAACGTGGTCAATGGTATTCGAGTTATCTACGTAGGACTGAGCGGGTATTCGTCGTATGCATTACCAATACCAAAGTATTTAACGTACCAAAGAATCTGTGTAACCTTAATGAATTAGCGGATGACGGCGATTTGTTGCAAAAAGCGTTGGGTGCGAGCGCATCTTGAATTTCGAAGGGACAGCGATCGGCCAAGGGCACACAGGCTAGGCGATGTATGAACGCGTGAACTTTACATCTGATGTATATAGATTAAAGACCGATTTATTTTATCGCGTTTTGCCTTTTTAAACAGC